AAAAAAAAAATTTTGAAAATTTGAAAAAATGGGTCGGCGGGTTATGCAAAACGAAAAATTAACTTTGCGTGGCCTAACCGAGGAAATGAGATTTTATTGTTACTTTTAACAAAAAAGATTTTTTGCAAAGTTTTACTATATATTATGATTTTTTCTAACCCTAAATTTAACTCTTTATTTTATATGAAATTAAGAGTCAATAAAAAACAATGACGGAAAATAAAAAAAAATAAAGTTATAATATAAAAAATAAACCTACAACAGGAAAAAAATGCTATTTGAAAAATAAATCGACATTCCTAATTATAATTCAAAGGCTTGTCTTCCAGAAATCACTGGTCCTTGATGAATTACTCGTTTATTGAATAAGGCATCGAAATAATGAATACTATAATTTCTGAATAGTCTATATGATTCATCCAACCATAAACTGACCTCTTGATACAGCTTTTCTAACCCATCACTGCCAAATCTCTCTTCAAATTTACTATAGTCAATAAAACAATCGAGTTCTTGTTGACACAAATATTCGTAAGCATCTCCTGCAACGTAAAGTGATTTAGACAATTTAGAGCCAGACCAATCAGTTACCAACGGACAGTAAACTATAAAAGGTAAATCATTGGCATTAGTTTCTAATATGGAGGCACCTTTATAGAGAATTTGTTCTTGGTAGGTTCCAGCATAATCACTTCCGGTCACTCTAATCCAAGCATGATTAATATTTTTGTTCTTATTATCTTCTGAGTATACTATTCCTTTGACTAAATTTCTTAAGGGAGTGTTATACTCCAACTTACAGGGCTCTTTTTCAAAATCGATTAAGTAATCACCATGTTTAGGACAAAAAAACTTAATCTTTTTATCATCATAGGAATTTTTTAGTCCATGTTTGTCGGCTAAACCACATTCGGGACGCGGGCAAGCAGCTCTAAACGCTAAGCACTTTGTTTCAGGAGACAGCAAAGCGCCAACTCGCTCCCTTTTATTAATCAGCTTGCCAATTATTTCTGGTATTTTTTCGTGAGAATTGAAATCGGTTTGATATTTTATTTCAAAATTCACACCGGAATAGGACTTTAATTTTTCCAATAATTCCTGATAATAATTCAGGTATTGATCAATTTTACCAGTATAAGAAAGGCTTTTTTGATAACCAATGCCATCAAAAAAACAATCCTGATCATGATCTTTAGCGGTATCCACTAATTCTAAAACAACAGATACTTTTTTTTTCTCTTGTAGTTTTTGGGCTAGCGAGAAAGCTAAAGAGAAGGTAGTCAAGGTACCAAAATGTGGCGAACCATTGGGCTGGGCTCCTATACTTATCTTTATTTCTGGTTTGGTTACCTGACTTATAATGTAATCAACGTAATTTTTTTTGAATACATAAGAACCACCACCGAGGGGATGTTGAACTTTATTGCCATGTGGTATTGTTGAAAGTTGGCTTGTGGATGTGTCAAGTACTGAATTAGGCATAATGCGATACTTTGATAGTAAAGTGTTCAAGTTATGGATAGATTGTAAAACAAAATATAATGTATAGATGTAGAGATTATTGTAAAAACATTATATAGTGGTCATAGTGAAGCATTATAGAGTAGTCATGGTGAAGAAGTACGTATTTATAGCATAGTGTAATGAATTTAGTGTCATAACAAAACATCATTGACTATGCCTTATAAAGGAAGTGTTGGACGATGCTTTCATATGATTTACATAACTCACATAACTTGTCATTAGGGTAGGGGAATGTAAAAAATTCGGTCCGATCCCAACTCGACTCCAGAAGTCGAGTCTTAATTAGTACACGGTCCCAAGCAGACTTGGAACAAAAACTTATTCTGTCATGTGAAATACGTGACGCTACATTATTTAAGTAATACAAGGTTCAAACTTTAAATCTTGGATCACAGTCTTACTTAAATAAACGCGGTGTCACAGATTTCACATGACAGGATGAGTTTTTGTCTCAAGTCTGCTTGGGACCGGTGTTACTATCGGATCGGGAGAGCGTCGGTAAGTGGGTGCCGGGTTTAGGTCAGCGATAGTGAACGAAATAGATAATGATTAATATATATGTCTCGTATGCGAGATGAATATAAGGGATGCAGTAATAATTATAAGTATATTGACGATTGTATGCGAAGTCGTAATAGGGACGATTTTGGGTCAATTAATGCAAGATAGAATTAATTTATTTTAAGAGACCGTTAGTTGAGATAACGATTTTTAACAATGGTTGTATTGGACTGTAATAGAATAGCGTTGTTGTAATAATTATAAGATGTAATAAATAAATAAATAAATATGAAGTTTCGTGAAACGTGATCACGATGAAACAATAATGCAGTGAGAATTCGACAAGACAAGTTTTTAAGTATATATATGTGTGTATAAGAGATCGAAGTCTGAAGAACTTTATTGAAAGCAAAAATTCGAGCCTTTAAATACATAATTCGTCGTACATCAATTAATTGAACTACTCTATTGACAACACGACTCTCTTCCTATAATTAACCCTTTTCTCTATAACGATTCTCCTCTTTTCAACCATCCGCCATATCCCTGTACTAATTATACCCTTAACTCCGCGATTCTCATATGACTAGGGATGGGCAATTATATTATACTGTATCCCTTAAACCATCCAGCAGCTAAATATACCCGCTAGAATATTTTTTTTTTATATTTTTTTATAATTGCTTAAAATTTTATTAAGAATA